CTTGTTTAAAGCAGGAATATTTTGAAAGCATCAAATTAGAAAGAAGAAGATAGCAAAAACCACATTGCTAAGCTGTTGGATGAGTTTGATCATGGCTCTTCACTTCAATCCACATTCTTGTCATAGAAAAGAGATGGAAAAAAGAAGAAAAAAAAAAAAAAATCTCATTTTTCTGTATGGTGATCTGTTTTTGAGGAAATTGATTCCTGTAATTAGGGAATGGGCACTGAGCTTTTGGTATGTTGTTTGTGAATCAGCTTGCTCTTAACCAAGCGATCATGGAGGAAGATGAGGAGAACAAAGATGATGGTTCAGGAATATCTTTCGAAGAAAAACCAGCCCTTCCACGAACTCGCAACCGCCCTAAAAGGGAAGCCGAGGTATGAACAATTGCTTAGTTTTTTTTTTTGGAGGTGTTCATATGATTGGATTAGACGGCTGAGAAATGGCCAAGGAACTTGAAAACTTCCCTGTATATTGTAGATATACATTATCAATAATATAAAACTACCATATTGCATGTTCATTTGTTATCAAGCCTATTACTGGTATCAATTAGAAATGACATACCCATGATAACAAACATTGAATGACCTCTATGTTCTTCCGTAGAAATTGTTTTGGGTCCCTCTCTCATAAATATTTACATTACCATTAACTTTTTACATTCTACTTTTGGGACTATTTGGTGTTATCGGGTCGTTATAAACTTTAAGGTCTTATTGGTAAGTTGAGGTCGTTCCATTGAGATTTAATACTTGGAATATTTCCCTCTTGTATTACTTGTTTACTTGTTGGCAATGTATACTCGCACTACGAGACTCTCGACAACCATCAATGACCCTATCTACACGAAAGCTAAAATTGATACTTTCCCTCTTATACTGCTTGTTAACAATGTATACTTGCACGACTCTTGACAACCATCAGTAACCCTATCTACAATGAAAGCTAAAATTGTGGCACTTTCAATCGTAGTACATGAAGCAATATGGAAAAAGTCATTTGAGATGCAAAAACAAAGTACGCCCAACTTCTACACTACAATAGTATTACTCAATATGGATGATAAGGATGGTATAATATGATCATATAGGATTGCATAAGGTAATAGATATCTATTTGTTTATTGTGTGTATCGATTGAAATATCGCTCAATTCTTATGATATATCGGGATTCAAGTAATTCCACAACAATGAAGGGAAAATGTTATTCAATTCCACGACAATATAAGGGAAAAGGTTATTTATCTATATTGTCGAAATATCGATATGTCTTAATATTGTTCTTTCAAACTTAATCCAAACCAACCTTTTAATCTAAATAATAGTTTTTTTAAAATGTTTATAAGAATATTTAAGGAAGAAAAAGAAATAAGACCAAAAAAAATAGTGTAAAGATTTAAGAAATGGGGATTGCATTGAGAATGAGCCCAGCTTCTTCTTCTTCTTCTTCTTCAACGAAGCTTACAGCTTCAGAATTCTTGAAGCCTTCTGTTACGATTACGAACCCGAGAACATTTTTCTTAAGCTAAGTGCACAAATTATGCGATTTCAGATACCAATTTCTCCAAAGAAGAGGCATCAACATCCCACAAATGCCCCCTCAAATCCCCTCAAAACCCTACAAGCAATACTTCTTCTATGGCCACCGCCACCGCAACCCCAAGCAGCACCGCCCCACAGTCTACGGCGGCCTCTTCACCAACCGCCAGTCCCTCACTCCACCCAACCCCGACAAACCCATTACCCCAAAACCCCAACCCTTCCATCTCCGCAACTGGGATCCTGATCGCCCATTTAAACAACACTCCAACCTTACGCCGTCGCCCTCCGAGGCCTTCTTCTCCAGCGCCCTCCGCCTTTCCCCAATTGCTCGCTTCATCGTCGACGCCTTCCGGAAGAATCAAAACCAATGGGGTCCGCCGGTGATCTCTGAACTCAACAAGCTCCGCCGGGTTACTCCGGACCTTGTCGCAGAGGTTCTCAAGGCTTCTCACCGCCGTGATTCTAACCCCATTTTAGCTTCCAAATTCTTCTACTGGGCCGGGAAGCAAAAGGGGTTTCATCACAATTTCGCTTCTTATAATGCTTTTGCTTATTGTTTGAATCGCCACAATCGCTTCAGGGCTGCTGATCAGATTCCTGAGCTCATGGATTCACAAGGTAAGCCTCCTAGTGAAAAACAGTTCGAGATTCTGATTAGAATGCATTGTGATGCCAATAGGGGTCTTAGAGTTTACTATGTGTATGAAAAGATGAAGAAATTTGGGGTTATTCCTCGTGTTTTCTTGTATAACAGGATTCTTGATGCCTTAGTCAAAACAGGTAATATGGATTTAGCTTTATCTGTTTATAGGGACTTTCAGGAAAATGGGTTAGTGGAAGAGAACATTACCTTTATGATTTTGATTAAAGGGTTGTGTAAGGCAGGGAGGGTTGATGAAATGCTCGAGTTTTTGGGTCGAATGAGGGCGAATTCGTGTAAGCCTGATGTGTTTGCTTATACAGCAATGGTGAAAGTGTTGATTTCTGAGGAGAATTTGGAGGGTTGTTTGAGAGTTTGGGATGAAATGAGAGCTGATAGAGTAGAGCCTGATGTTATGGCATATGGGACTTTGATTACCGGATTGTGTAAAGTCGGTTGGGTGCAAAAAGCGTTCGAATTGTTTCAGGAGATGAAAGGGAAGAGGATTTTGATAGACAGAGCAATTTATGGGTCCTTGATTGAGGCATTTGTGCAGGATGAGAAAGTTGGATTAGCTTTTGATTTGCTGAAGGATTTAATAGATTCAGGGTATAGAGCTGATTTAGGGATATATGATTCTCTTATTAAAGGTCTTTGTAATGAAAATCAAGTCGATCGGGCGTATAAACTCTTTCGAGTAACCATACGAGAGGATCTTAAGCCAGATTTCGGAACGGTGAAGCCTATTATGATTCAATACGTGGAGACGAGAAGAATGGAAGATTTGTGGAAGTTGTTATCATTGTTGCAGAAGTTGGAACTTTCTATGGATGATGTTCTTTTCAAGTTGATGTCTCTTATGGTCGAAGAGGAGGACAAGATAAGCACAGCTCTAGATGTGTTTCGTGGCTTGATCGATAAGGGCTATGGCAGTGTTGCGATATACAATATCGTTATTGGGGCTCTTCACCGCCATGGGCAGGCAAAGAAAGCATTAGAGATCTACAATGACATGAAGAGCTCGAATATCGAACCAGACCCTTCAACTTACTCTATTGTTGTATCGTGCTATGTTGAAGTCGAACAAATCCAAGAGGCTTGTGCATCTCATAACAAAATAGTTGAGCTGGGTTCGGTTCCTTCCATGGCAGCCTACTGCTCTCTTTCCGAAGGTCTGTTCAAAATCTGCGAGATCGACGCAGTTATGATGCTTGTTAGAGACTGTTTAGCAAACACCGAAAGTGGACCTCTGGAATTCAAATACGCTCTAACGATTCTCCAAGCGTGTAAATCTGGTAAAGCAGAGATGGTGATCGATGTCCTTAATGAGATGGTGCAACAAGGTTGCCCCGTGAGCGCGGTGGCGTACTCGGCGATCGTATCAGGAATGGGCAAGTATGGGACGATTGAGGGGGCAAAGAGTGTGTTTTTACATCTGAAGGAGAGCAGGCAGATGAGAGAAGCAAACTGCATTGTATGTGAGGAACTGTTAGTTGAACACATGAAGAAGAAGACGGCAGATTTGGTAAGATGTGGGCTGAAATTTTTCAATCTTGAATCCAAGCTGAAAGCAAAAGGAAGCAAGCTGCTATCAAATTAAGAACATAATTATTTTCCTCACTATTTGTTCATCAATAAAAACTCTTTCTTTGCTGATATAGGAATAGTTCAACAACTGATATAGGAAGGATATGTAATTGAGTTGAGCTTTTTGTGTTATATAGGAATAGAGAGGATGGCCTTTTGTGAAAGTTATAGTGACTGGACAAAAATGAAAAAACGAGGCGATTAAAACGGGCAACGGACGGATTAAGTTCCTTTCTATCCTTGCCCCCTATCTTATCCATTTTATATCATATCTAAAGGATTTTTTTTTGTTATCCATCTTAGTATAATGAAATAATGTTCTATGTAGGTATCAAATTAAGAAAATTATAAAAAACCCTCAGCCAGTTCATTTTCATTCGACATTCCAATCCAAGCACACAACTCCTGTCCCCAGAAGATATCAACCAAAACTAGCCGTCCAAATTATGCAAATTACAACACAGAAGCCAAAGTAAATCAGAAAATGGGTGAGATATTCATGGGGCGTTTCAGTTTCTCCTTTCTCAGATACCTGGAATTCATCAGGATCAAATCATGCCGTAGTTTTGAATCTTATGCAGCTAACAGCAAATCAATCTGTTCCTAGAAGCAATTTCTTGGATCCCACTTGATAACAATTTTGCATTTAGTTCTGTTCTTTAAAGTTAATCTCGCCGTACCTGAATCATTTCTTTACCTGCCAGTAATAAAAGAGAAAGGATGTGTTATACGGAAGTACTCGAGGAGGAAAAATTGCCAAGTTAATATTGCAGCTTACAAAGGATTTGAACATTTTCACCTTATAAAGAAGAGTTACCAAACACCTTAAGTCTTATACTTCTTTGATTGGACACTCAAGAAAAGGTTAAAAGCTCTGGTTCGAGACCATATGGGTGATATCGTCGAGGCTCTTTTTTCCTACTAAAGACCTTAAAAGCAATGACAAGAATAGCTGAACATGCTTTAGTTTTAACGTAAGCAAACAGAGCATCAACATAAGGAGGCTGAAAATAACATGGTTGAGGGACTTACCTCTTCCCACTTGGAACTTTCTTCTTCTGTGTTGAATTCTCATTTCTCAGAACAAGGACCTAAGAACAAGAACAAACTGCATATCCAGAGTGTACAACACATTTTTAAGAAGCCAATTGTCTGAATATTTCTTCTTGAAAAAAAAGAAAAAAACCAATCATCTGTGAGAATATGATTCTGAAGTAAAATAGGCGAAGAAAAAAGATACCAAAAAGTGAATTAAAGTAATCAATCATTAATGAGGAGAATAGATCAACTAGCAAGGTTGGCGAATGAGGGAGATTATCAAGATGGTGTACAATGGAACTCCACGATGTTCTTGGCTAAGATTAGGCTCATCACACATACAAGTCATAATTGGATTGATAGTAGAGCTGTTATTGCCTCTATAAAGTCTCCCAAAAAGAGGTTTCTCAATACATACTTAATGTGGCCTGATCATACAAGGATCGCATATTGTAAGGGGAGGAATCTACCTATTGACCTGCAATAGAACCAAGTCACTCATATTCAATTCTTTATACCAAAAATTCTGCAGAGTCATTCTTGTTGAAATAAAGTTAAAAATCTACCAACAAAAACATATATGATCCTGCAGTATCAAAGCAAAAACAGAAGTGGTTGGCTACTAGTGGGCAAAATCAAAATTCATGTGGCCAGTCAACTCCAACAACCAAAATAATCTCTTTGAAGCTTTGAATATCCTCCAACATGAAACAGCTGATCAAAATCTTCCCCCTTGTCGGTTGGGTGGAATGTTTCCTTGATCCCTACCTCCAATGTAATCAAATTGTGCATCTTTTGGCCTCTTGCCATACCTATACTTACATTTCCAATCCTGTTTGTTACCGTGAATATTCGGCGGCATTCTATCAGGTAAATTTCTGACATTTTGATTGTAATTGCTATTCCCAGGCCTATTATAATGATCAAAATTACTGGCACACTGCTGGTGCCTGCTCCATGAGTTATTTCTTGCATCACTGGCAAACCCTTTAGTCTTCCAGGTGGCAGCGCCATCTTGATGCTGCACGTTAGCTCTCCAGGCATTGTCTACCATACTTCTTGCATCTCTAGAAAATCCTTTATTCTGCCAGGAGGTGACAACTTGATTCCCTTTATCCTTCCAGGCAGTGTCCACCATACCCCTGTTCTTTGGGTCAATGATATTGTCCCAATGATTGCCATCATTATTCACCTGCCTCGACTCACTTAAATTCCACTGGCTCCATCCTTGTCCTTTAGTTTCAGTGAATTGGTTACCATGTTCCCAGGGATTACCCACATGACCTGGATCTTCAATGTGACTTTCTGTCCAAACAGAACTGGAGTTCCTTGTCCTTTTATTTTTACACTCCAACCAATCATCATGTTGCTTCATATTAGGATTGTAGTATGCCCAATCCAGTTCCTCAATCATTTCAGGATCCATCTCTGGACTCCAATCGATTTGTTCAATATATTTGTCCGGATCAGGCAGATTGATATCACACTGATGGCCGTTAATGGCTGCCCAATAACGTCTTTTAGCATTATGGAAAGCCTCTTCACAAGCAGAATCATCCCAATTGACTACATTAGTATGACAATAAATAAAGTTCTTGGAATCAACTATTTTACCCCATGGCACACAGCCGATCTCTTTGCAAAATGTCTTTTCCCATAAAGGAATGCCATCTCGCCAATACTCTACACCAAGAAGAAACGATGAAATTAATTCAGAACCATTAAGTTCACTGAAAGATTAATAATATGGATGAGCATCCTACAAAACAAGGTGTTGCATTTTTTGTTTAACCAAACAAATAAAAATTGTACCATCACACATTTCCAAACACTTAGAAATCAGTGAAGAGATATAAATGGAATATTTATAATTTCGATTCCTAATATTTGGTTTAGGTTTAATTTAATCCCGAAGCTTTAACACACTCAATTTGATAGAACCCAAATGTATTGAAAGATAAAAGATACCCGAACTACAAGATAGACCAACTCTTCGAGGTACTTGGACCCCCTTTTTTAAGATCTCTCACAAGCCCTAAATCACTCACCAAAATAATGTCGACCACCTCCCTTTCCACTCTCTCTCTACTTATAACCAAATATTATAACACTCCCTAACTAACTACTAATATACCCTTAATAGCAGCCATTTACAATGATTGACATGAAGAATACACAAAAGGGCATCGAATCCTCCTCAAGTTTCCAGTCTACATTTTCAGTTTCAAGAAGTGGAAGAGTGATTAGATACAAATTTGTTTGAAGCTTAATTGAGTGCTAATCTGATGACTAATCAAACTTGTTTTGTGGAAAAATCACTGGTCCATTTTAATCCCATAAACCACCGTAAGCCACCACTTAGCCTTGTCTGAATTGCAAAATTTGATAGAAATAGAAAAGAAATGTAAATTTTAAGGAGGTACAATCAAATTCATCCCTATTTCCTACAATTACCACTTTCCATGAGATTTTTTCTTCTTCTTGTAATGTAATAAGATGGCAACATCATCTTTTAACAGTAACCATCAGCAGTTTCTATGGTTCATATATTTCTGAGAAAATGGCCTTCTATTAATATTATTAATCAATAAAAGATCTATGATATATGAAATAAGCAATACTCTTAGCCCTAGAACATCAATCATCTAGAAATAAGGTACTTATTTTTCAAATTGGGAGTAGTTCTAACAAAATTAGAAAGGACCGCTTCCAATTTCATAATTACTACAACTTCCAATTTCATGTTTAACATGAGAATATCATCTTCATCAATCTCACACTGCCCACTGATCACATTCACTTTCTCATCTTTCCAAAAAGGATAAAAAGAAAAGATGTTCTAACAAAATTAGAAAGGTCCGCTTCCAATTTCATAATTACTACAACTTCGAATTTCATGTTTAACATGAGAATATCATCTTCATCAATCTCACACAGCCCACAGATCACATTCACTTTCTCATCTTTCCAAAAAAGATGAAAAGAAAAGATGTTACATTGCATTTTAATTCATAAACTATTCAAAACAGTAACCTTATTGCCCGTAAATTACGGCAGACATCACATTCACAAGATTACGAAAAAGATGAGAACGTCCTTTCTGTAAAAATCTAAATATGAAATAAAATAAAGCAAAGGATCAATCAAGATCCCTACCAACTCCAACCCAAGCTTCACTTCAGCATTTTGCCTAAAAGCCATTGTTCAAGACAAAACTGACTAAATAAGCCAGATGTCTATTCAATTCAACAACTGAACTAATGAATAATTTCTATCCAACAACTAACGAAACTAATCAAAGAAATCGAGTTCCATTCAATTCAATGACGAACATGAAATTTCACTACAAAAGAAACTCACAGCACCCTAATTCTAAAAACAACAAGGGAAGAAAATTACCTAGCGGAGGATCTTGATCGTAATTTCTTAACGCCGACCAAGGAGGCTTCTGATTCCGAAAATTTCTCCTAGGCCGTTCTCTCCAATTACCCATTACATCAAACAAAAACCCCAAAAAACAGATTCGAACCACGCGATGATACTCTCAACAGTCAACAACGAATCACATAAACAAAGAGAGGCCAAGAATTGAGACGCACGCCGTGTTGTGGCACCGAAGAAATCGAACAGAGTGAAAAAAGAAGGGCGCCAAATCTTAAGAACAGAGACGATAAATGACGAAATGAGTCGGTAATTGAAGTGATAAAACTTGGAATTTGAGAGAGAAATCGAGATTATAGAATAGATAAACAAAGATCAAAGGCTGCGGCTGCGGATCTTTGGGCGAACTGACCGACCCGTTTCGTTCTTCTTCTTGAACACACTGCACTACTTGGATCCGTACTTCCATTACACCAATTTTATACTTTCTTTAGGTTAAATTACAATTTTGTTTCTAAATAATAAACTTTAAAATTTTTCAATTTTAGTTCGGATTTGTTATATTAACAAAAACAAACACTTATTAAATATTTCTTAAATTAAATAGACACGTGTCATTCATCCTAAATTTTGTGTTTATATTTTATTACTATTGGTGAAACCTTAATTCTTTTTTAAAAATTAAATAAATTACACTTTTGGTCCTTACACTTTGGTCCACATATTAATTTGGCCCCCAAATTAATCCTTAATTTAATAACTCTCTCAAATTACTGGTATTGTCGTGAAATGTTTAAAATATATTATAAATAATAATTTTAAATTCAAACGGTAAAATAATAATAATAAAAGTATAGAATTTTTTTAAAAAAATATATATATTTAAGGATTAATAATTATAAACAACCCAACCCAATCATCTATTTTTGAGTTGTTGAATTGAGTTCTCAAGTTACTTTTTTTTAATTATTTTAAAAAAATTACTTATCTACCATACATGTTGTTAGACGAACACGATTCTTCACAATGATATGATATTATCCAGTTTGAGCATAAGCTCTCATGGCTTTACTTTAGGCTTCTTCAAAATGCCTCATACCAATGGAGTTAGTATTCCTCACTTATAATCATTCCCTAAATTAGCCGATGTGGAACTTTCATCATCCAACACATGTTACATTAATAACTAAAATCTCATCAAACTCAAATATTAAATATTCACAAGTCTCAGCCCATTATTAACTTCAGTTACATAGATCAAATATTTTTAAATTTTATAATAATATAAAGAGTAGTATAGTCCCTTTATTTCAAATTGGAATCTGACAAAAAAAAAAAAAAAAAAAAAAAAAAAAAATTGTCTAGCTCACAAATATTTTTTGATTTTTCAAAATAAAATCTAATTCAATCTAATATTTATGATTTGAATAAATAATCTAAACGGGTAGGATTCTCAAATTACATAAATACCCCTACCAATCGAGGATCATTATATATAATTTAAGAGAAAAATTTGTTCAATTATTATTTTCCATTTTAGTATATTCTTCTATACATTAATGGATAATGTGAAACTTATTTTATTTAATATATAACGTCTTGAACTATATAGAATATTTATAATAATATTTAAAAAAAAAAAAAAAAACTAAAGGGAGATGGAATTTATGTGAGAAAAAATAATAATAATAATAAATAAATAAATAAATAAAGGTGAGAATGTTGTGGGTCCCACTACCAGCTGGCTTCCCTACTCCATTCAACCATTATGCTTTGTTTTCTTTCTTACATTCTCCCATTCTCTCATCCCTTTCAACTCTTCAAATTTCCCATTTTACCCTTCATTCATCTTTCTCTCTCCCTCTCATCATTCATTTTTAAAAAGTAGTTACCCATCAACAACTTGGGTTATAATTACTTCAAGCCGTTTTTTTTATTTATTTATTCATCCTTTTTAATTTTAAACTTTAAATTTTATCAAATTAAATCAGTATTACCGTTTTAACCTTAAACTTTATATGTATTACAATTTTAACCTTTTAATAACTTTTTTCTCAAAATATCCTTAAAAAAAAATTAACCACACTTTATTTTATTAAAATTAATGGAATTAGGAAGATTCTTACATTATTATTTTACATTGAAATTAGTGAGCGAATTAGTTGAAATTGAAATTGAATTAAAATTGATTTAATAAAATAAAAAGAAAATATAAATTTAGGCTAAATATAAAAGTGGAGATTTACAAATTAAAATTAAAATTCACCAAATTAATTATAAATTTGTTTTTATTTTTTATTACTATTCTTCAATGGTTTTGTATTTGACTAAAAAAATATTAAAATAAAATATTATTTTTGGAAACTAAGTTGAAATTATAAAAAGAAAATGAAAAAATAGTAAATAATAGGAAAACAATGAGCTTAGAAAGTACTAAAAAACAAATAAAAACAATAAAATACTGTTTCCACTTTGTACTATTTATTTGTTTTGAGAACTATTTTAAATCCATCAATTTGTTATTTATTTATTTATTTATAAATATTAATTATAATTTTTCTAAATAACCCAAAAAAAAAATAAAGGCTTCAAACAGTGTTAGAAACTTTTTTAATGTCCTTGAAAAGGAACATGTCTTAAATTACACATGGTTTTTTTTTTTAATTATTTTAAAAATATTAATAGATGAACGTAAAATATTCTTAATTTTTATATAATAATTTTTAAAATAGGGTGAGTAGGGTAGTATTGGATTGTAACCTTATTTTCAGGTTGGTCTAAGTTGACCTAATAGAAAAGTTCAACCCACAAACTAACTTTAGTTTTTAATTTTTCAAAAATTCATCTGATAAATTTATTGGAACGAAGAGGCAATTCAGTAATTTGGTACCCAACAGGCATTTGAATATGTTGGATGCATTTGAGAGAAAAAGTAAAGGCTGTGACAAAGGAATGGGAGGACCCATTAGAAGTCACAAGGATTTTTTTCTTCTCAAGAACCCACTGAAGGAAGGGTTCCCACAAAAGGTAGACCTCTCAGTCCTCTGCCACTCTTTTTCTTTTCACAATTTGTGATTGAAAGGCCCACAAAACTGGAAGCAAGCAATTCAAACTCATCTCAAAGAGCTAAGAAAACATGAATTCTCAAAACATGAAAGTATTGAGTTGACGTCTTTTCACATTTTGTCCATTTGGGTTCTTCTTCTTTCAGTTCTTCTCTCGGTTGATTCTTGTCTTTCAGAGTTTCTGATGATTTGGGAAAGATCTGGGTCTGGTTCTGGTTCTGGGTTTTTTTGCCTACAAGGTGTTCGATGAAATGTCTCCTCCATTGTTTTCTCCTGTTGATGGCTTCAAGCTCCCTTTTGAAGGTTCTTCAATGGTTTCCTCTACTTTTTTTTGTAATTGGGATTGAATTTTGAAGGACCCTTGATTCATTTTTTGTGTTACTTGGACGACTTTTTGTGTTTCTGCAAATGGGGTTCTGGTTTTATTTTCATCTGTTCTAGAACCGAATATTTTCTCAACGTTGGGATTGAGATTAGTTTAGTTACTATTCTATTTCCGTTGCTCATTGATTGCTTGCTGGTGTTCTCAAATGGGCAACAAGAAGGGCTGGTTTTATTTAGTCAAGAAGCTTTTCGTTTCAGAGACACAGACAAAGCCTGAGAAGGTAAAGATAGATGGATGGATATATTGCTTGATTTTGTAACATGTCTTCAACTAATCATCAATGCCAATAAATGTTGTTTTCTCAGAAGCAAAAGAGGTGGAAATGGGTGTTTGGAAGGATGAGGAACAAGAGACTAGCCACACTGACAGCGCCGCTGCCATCAAAAGCGACGATGAGACGAGAAGAGGAGGAGGAAGAGGAGAGGAAACAGGCTCTTTCTGTGGCCATTGCGACAACCGCAGCCGCCGAAGCGGCAGTTGCAGCAGCTAAGGCTGCTGTTGAGGTTGTGTGGCTCACAGGGACCCCTCAATCTCATCAACAAGATGCTGCAGAGGAACCCTTTAAGCCTCTCAAGAAGGCCCCTCCATCTGATCTTCCTGAGCATGAAAGGGAAATCCATGAGCTTGCTGCTATTACTATCCAAACCGCTTTCCGTGGCTTCCTTGTGAGTACTTTCTGACCATACTTCCTCATTTAATTCAATGGAATAAGAATGAACATGCTGAAACAAATTGGTACTGTTACTGTCTGAGCTAAAAAAAGTAGAACCCATGGAGCTAGATTTGAAATCTTGTACTCTAATCTTTTCTTTTTAAGAAAGAATCATTCAAGAACTTACTCTTTGGGATGAATATGATAATCATGAGCTAAAAGACTAGAAACAGGAGGAAGGGAATATCAGAACTTTTTCCTAACTTGTGTATATAATTTGATTCTCCAGCCTTGTTCTACGCAGTGATATTTGAATCATTAAGTAAATAATGTAAGTTTGCAGGCGAGGAAGGCATTGAGAGCACTGAAAGGAATAGTGAAACTACAAGCAATTATTAGAGGGAGAGCTGTTAGGCGCCAAGCCATTGCCACTTTGAAGTGCTTGCAGTCCATCGTTAGCATACAATCACAAGTCTGTTCAAATAGGCTTCACCCTCCTCAAAACACTTTCAATTCTCCTGAAACGAGGCAGTTTCAGAGCTTGAGAGATAGGATCATAAAGGTAGGCCAAATCAAAGTATAGCTATATTGATTGATCAACGCTGTTAAGAACTGGTTGGTTTGATGATATTACTGTTTCTTAATACAGCCAATTGAGACAACAAGTCGTTTCATAGGCTTAGCATGTGTGAGATCCTACATTGATTGGAGAGAAGAACGAAACATTCTTTATAAGAGTGTGGAAACCTCTCCTTAGTAGACGCGTTTTAAAAACCTTGTGGGGAAGCCCGGAAGGGAAAGCCCAAAGAGGACAATATCTGTTAGCGGTAGACTTTGGCTGTTACAAATGGTATCAGAGCCAGACTCCGAGCGATATGCAAACCCGAAGGGGGGTGGATACGAGGTGGTGTGCCAGCAAGGACGCTGGACCCCGAAGGGAGGTGGATTGCGAGATCCTACATCGGTTGGGGAGGAGAACAAAACATTCTTTATAAGGGTGTGGAAACCTCTCCCTAGCAAAGGCGTTTTAAAAACCTCGAAGGAAAGCCCGAAAGAAAAAACTCAAAGAGGACAATATCTGCTAGCTGTGAGCTTGGACTGTTATTTAAACACCTATGATCTACAAAAGATCTCCATTTCTAATGAAAGTAGGACTATTGTTTTCTTATTCACTTTTTCCATTGTTCATTGATTTTGAAGTTGGATTCCAACGATCAAAGGTGGGATGACAGCCTACTATCAAAAGAAGAAGCCGATGCAGTGTTTTGTAGCAGAAAAGAAGCAGTGGTAAGGAGAGAGCGAGTCAAGGAATACTTGTTCGCCCACAGGGTAAATAGTACTAATCAACCCAATATTTCTTTCTTTACTGTTCATCTAGATCGAATGTGTGTTGTCGGTGTGATCCTAACACCTCCACCATTTTGCAGAGATCTACAGAGTCGGAACGAAAGAAGGTAAGAGGAAGATGGAGATACTGGCTAGACCAATGGGTCGACACCCAGCTCTCCAAAAGCAAAGAACTCGAAGATTTGGACTCCATTTTCACCTCAAATCCAAACCCACCAACAAAAAACACAGAAGAACTCCCCAACCAATCTCCATATCAAAATCCAGCTCTGAAAAAACTCTCCCACCACAAGAAGCAGCGTTCACTTGGGGGCGGAATAGACTCAAACAGCTCATTTTCAAGCTCCCCACTGGTGCCAGCATACATGGCGGCCACTGAATCTGCAAAGGCAAAAGCAAGATCCTTGAGCTCCCCGAAGCTGAGGCCGGCAGGGGGATTGGACAGCTGCTCCGATGGGAACTCGCCGTGCAAGACAAAGCCGCTCTGTTTGGTGAATTCAACGGCGAGTGAGGTCGGAATTAACAGCGGCAGAAGGGGGCTTCAGCAGCAGAGGTCGCCGGGGTTGAAGGGGCTTCCAGGGCCCACGAGATCAAGCAGAACTCTCAGTAAGGATTTGAGCATTGATTCTGAGCATTCCTTGCCAAACTGGGATAGACAAAGTGCCTTCCGATGATTGTTGTCTTGGTAGGCATATTGATATAAAATTAATACAGAAACAGTTTGTGGCGTTGTTGTGCTCATATTTCTATTAAAAATGTGTTAACAATCTTACCTAAATCAAACTTTTGAGATTAAAATATCGAGTTTGAAACTATAGGGACTAAAATTTTTCTAAACCTAAATCTTATTTAAAATAGAACGTACTCATATAAACTTAGTCAGTGTCATTAGACATACAACATACTATTGTTGTTGGATGATGAAAGTCCTACATCGACTAATTTAGGTAATGATCATGAGCTTATAATCAAATAATACTTTCTCCATTGGTACAAGGTTTTTTGAGGAGCCCAAAGCAAAATCATGAGAGCTTTTGATTCTCGAATAGGAACACATCAAAACAGCCTAGGGTCGCAACTGAAACAGCGGACGGTTGTAACCGAACTTTAGGAGGCCATTGATGACATTTGGCAAAGGATTAGTAGGGCCAAACATTATTTAAGCACTGCCCCAATCATTGCTTGTGCTTTACACCGAATCAAAAATATCTCTCCCGTTAACTCATTCCAGCCGTCCGATCAACTCCCCTCACTACCATCCTAACCGTTCATTATCTTTCGCTTTTCATAAAAGCAGTTTCAAAAGCCATATCCGAACCTCAGCTTCGGCAATCCCTAACCTTCTGCTTCGGTTCTTCTTCTTCTTCTTCTTCTTCTTACCATTTCATTGATCACTCCGACAAAGCTCTCTTTCTTCACAGTAACGGTAACAAGAACTATCGTTTCAAATCTTGACGATTCTGTTTCTGTTTTCATCTAGGGTTTCTGTCGAGTGTTCGTTGTAATTTGAAATTGGAATGATGCTCTGTTTGATGCTAATGCGTGCGATTAAACTGAACACAGTTCGATTATTGTTCCTGTATCTATGTTCGTTTGCTTTTTTTTTCTTTTGAATGATCGTTGCAATATCATTTGTGTAGGGATTGGATCTTCAGATCGATGTATTTTTAATTTGTTAGGAACCGATTGACTCAAAATACTTGTGAACTAAATCCAATAAAATCCCCGTTCATTGGTATGATCTTGTATTCTCAATAAGGACACGACAGTAAATAGATTTACCACTCTGTTGAGAATTTAGACTCTGTTCTTTGAAGTTCTTATGAACTTTCTATACCGTGCTTTTCATTCGAAGTTCATCAAGCTTATAGCTCCCTTTTAGAGACAGGTTTCTTTTTGTTTTCTGCCTAATTTAAAGAGAAAGATTGCGATATTTTTAGTTTTATGTCAATTAAACACTCTTTGCATACCTTAGCATGATTGTTTAGTCAATCAAGTCTCTCATATCCAAACTTTTTCCAGGTTTGTGGTCTGTTAAGACTTTTAGAACTGCTGTTGGTTGAAAGAATTGGATAATCTAGAGTAAGGATGACATTATTGTCTGGAAGAAGTTTTTCATTGAACCCCAATGCTCCAATCTTCATTCCGTACGCTCTTCGTAACGTCGAGGATTTCTCTCCAAAATGGTGGGAACTCGTCACGACGTCGCCGTGGTTCCAGTACTACTGGTTAAGCCAACATCAGGAAGATGATTTCGACAGCAGTACCAATGATTTAGTCACTACAGAAGAGTTTCTTGATCTGGAAGAGGCGGAGTTTGAGGCTATGGTTCAATCAACTGAAGCAGATGAGACGCCTGATATTAAACCAACCGCTCCTAAGAATCTCATAAAAGGTGTGCTTTTAATCTTGTTCATAAAAGAAGTATAATTTGAGTACAAGATCCTGACCTTACCATATTGGAATTTGATCGGTGCAATCCATGAAAATGGATGTCAAAAGATTATTGGAGGATCTAGTCATTCCAAAATCTCCATAAGGCTCCAGTTTGTCCTGCAAAGTACAGTGAGAAGTCAGCTAAGTGCAGGAGCCCCAAACACACTCCAAGGTTCATTCACCAGCCTCGTTGAAAAAGAGATGCAAACTGGATGCTGGAAGTTCAATCGTGTTCGTCGCGGTCGTGTACTCGGAACGAGTAGAATCGTCTTGTCACACAGTTCATGTAAGATTCACTACTACAAGTAGATTGAAATTTGTTACAAGTCTTTCATCAATTCACCTTTGTGTATATATATGATACCACAAGTTAAATGTATCAATTGTTAGAGTCTTGTTGTCTTTCTGTATAGATTTGTTCTTTCTGGTTCTCTGTTTCCAGAACTTACCATAATATCATTACTCAATAAAGAGCCATCTCTGTTAATGGGTCGTTTCATTTTCTTCTTAACTGAGGGCTGTAATTTGTATGACTGCTAATAGCTATTGATCCCATACCCAGTTCCCGACTCCTCCGAAAAAGGTTGCATCATAAATTTATAGTCTCGTTACTTTATACTTCGAGCGAGGTGGGGGATTTGAACCCTGACCTCTTAGTTGGGAGTACACATTTTCTACACATATATGAAACCCTAATGACAAGGGTCGGTCGAAGAGATCATAGAATAAAGTCATTGATGGATAGATATCTACGTTTCTAACGGATAGTTTAATAATGATTCCATCTTTGAGTTTCTGTTAATAGATGTTTCATCTTTATTTCAAGTGATTTTGTTAGGTTGCAAGTTTATGAACATTTATGGTAAATTTCTTATTACGATAGTGCCTTTTAAATCTCTCTTTACGCATAAAACCATTGTGCTTGTATAGATAGTTTTCTACGTTTCTATAATAGTTTCATTGTTAAGATAGTTTAATAACGATTCCATCTTTGCGTGTACCGTTGTAGCTTGCATATAGTAGTATGTCTTATTGTAGGGTTATTACAAACCCGTAGCTCGAAACACACACAATTGTTATGTAATAATTACATATGTTTTAAGAAATTAGAGCTGCATAAAGAAGTTGATTCCAAGCATCAGGGAGGCCAGCAATGCACCAATGTATGCAGTCCATTTCTCTAAGGCCACTGTAGGTGCCTGGATGAGCATCTTTTCTAAGCTGAGACAGAGTTGTTATGTTGATCAAGTGAACTGGGTTTGATATTCCATTCAATACTTTCTGGAGTGTGAATGATGCTGCTGGCAAACCTCCTGGGTATGTTGATCCCGCTACTGGACTTGTTTCGTTCCCACAATTTTTTACTCCCTGCTCGTTCCAGTCTTTGCCACTATCGTGATAAAATGAAAGGAAATGAGTTCAAGTCATGCGTTCCTAAGAAAAAAGAATGTGTTGTTTGAAAGAACACGTATTATAATGAAACGGTTCTTAGTTAATCGAACTATAGTTCGGAGAGTTGGGATTTTTTTTTCAATAATACCCTTTCGTTTTTTTTAATATTAAATAAATATTTACAGTTAGTATCATATTAAACATTTTTGAGATGTTTTTAAAACAAAATGTTGGTTTTCCTCCAAAATTAAAATATTTTTGAAACATTTAAAAATTCAGAGATTTTTTTTTTTTTTTTTTTTTTTTTTTTTTTTTTTTTT